GTATGTGTGCCATACGCACAGTGTGTGGTGGGGGTGGGGAGACGGGGAGGTGGGAGGGGCAGGGGAGAAGGAAGCTGGTATGCACACAGATCGACGCTGGGTGACAGCACGAGGGGTTAGGCTGCTTTGAGGGCCAACACCCAGCGCCACACCCTCCGTGGTCGGGCGCGGGGGCAGGTGCGGCCGCCGTGGCGATGTGTGCGTTGTAGGCGGGAGGGGCGCGGGGCAGCAGCGCACAAACCGGCCCCCGCCGCCCTCACTGCCAGTGCATTGTACGCCCAGGCACGGAGCCGGCGTTGCTGGGTACGCGCGCACCTGTGGGCCCGCGCGCAGTCGCTGCCATGGGGACACCGCTGGTTCTGGGGAGGCGCGGCAGGCGGCGCGGCGGCGGGCGCGCGTTGAAGGGGGGCTTGGCACAGCGTAGGGCGTACCACGCATGGGCCTAGGCCGCAGCCCCGGCCGCAAGTGTGGCCAAGTGCCATGCGGCATGCGCGGAATCAACAGGGTCGGCTCCCAGCCACGCCCCGCCATGTCACCCCCCCCCGGGCCCTGCAGAACCCCCTGGACCACGCACCTCCTTTGCAAAGTCGCACGGCACGCCGCGGTAGTTGTAGCGCCTAGGGTCCCGCCGCGCGGCCCGCTCCCCCTGGTGCGCGCAGGGGCAGGCGGCCCAGTCGTGCGGGATGCGCCGGCTGCACGGATCCACCTGCGTGGCGGCGCGCCACGGGGTGATGGTGGTGGTGTTGATGAGGGCGGTGGTGTTGGTGAGGGCGGTGGTGTTGGTGAGGGCGGTGGTATTGGTGAGGACGGTGGTGGTTGTAAGGACGGTGGCGCGGGGGGCCGTGTCGTTCACGAGTCGCTACTGGAAGTTCCTGTTGACAACGAGGATGTACCCCACCACAGGTTTCAGGTTTCCAAACCTCGTCTACGCAGCAGACAGCACTCGTCAAGGCCAACCGCCAGTGCAGGTGGCGTGCACTGCCGCGGGGCGGCCGCGTGGTCATGCTCTCGCCCCCAGCCTTGGCGGCGGTCAACGCGGTAGAGAATGATGCGCGCGCACGCAGCGGGCCCTGGCGATGGTGCTGGCGGCGCAGAGGCGGACAGTACTCACTTTATAATGATACATGTACCAGCTCAAACCCTCATCCGGGCTGAGTGTGCCTCCAGCGGCACCCATCTCGCTATTCAGCGCAAGGGATCCAAGAATTATGTTCAAGGGGTTCTCATTCCCCAAACTGATGGTAGAGACTGGTAGACCTAAATGCTGCTCCATATGCAGCGTTCTTGGCGCCTTGTGAACTGCGGTTCTCAGATCCCCGGGACTGATGCACTGTTGGCAGGTACTGCCGGGTAGAAAAGTTAAACAAAGCGAACGCCGTGCCAGTAGGACGTAGAGGGCGGTGGACATAGGTTGCGCTCAGGATTCTGGTCGCGTGGTCGGGCGCTTGTGTTGAGTAAACAAGGTGAAAGCACCTGGTGACACCTGGGGGACTACTGAGCGTCGCATGGGCCCGCAGCCACTGGCCCTCAAGCGATACAATCAAGGGCGAAAATGGACCATCCTTGATTGCTACGAGCTCGCAAACCTCGCCGCCAAGCCGCCGGACGAAGTGGGAACAGGGGGGTGGAAAGGACAGGGGGATGCTGGCAGAGACGCCCAGGAAGAGCGGGGTGCGTATCCGCGCCACCAATCCCTTGGTTGACAACCGCTGCAATGGCAGGTTCAAGGCGACAGCTTCCCGTCATGCCTCATGCCTCGGCCGCATGTTGATATTCAGATTGGTCATGCACACCGCCTCACTGCCGACGAACACGCGTGCGCATGCGCAGCCACTGGCATGGATCCACCTTGCTTTGTCCTCCTCTCCTCTCACAGCCCAACCCGCCACCCATTGAATCCCTAAGAACTCCAGAGCGGGGAGGGGGGGCAGGAGTGGGGGCGCTGCACCTCTTCCCCTAAGGCGCCGTGGTGATGTCAGCTGTGGATCGCCTTGGCTGCTGACTGCGCCGTGGGGAGGTCTGCCGCTCAGGCCCGAGGCTCTACGTACCCCACAATGGCACTAGTTTGCTTGAGGTCGGTGTGGCGTCACAGGGGCGGCAGCGCAGAGGTGAGCAATGTGCAGAGCGCATGCCAGGGCGAGTGTAAGGTTATTCTACTTACGTAATTTGGGGTGTGGGTACCTGAGGCTGGATGCGCTGTGTCTAGGTTGTGGGTTGCTCGCAACAGCCGCTGTAAAGGACAGTGCTTACATGTTATTTGATGTTCGGCTTGCGCCGAGCCGCGACTATGCCAAGGTCCTGCAACGTGCGTGCGAGCTATGTGTAGTTGCGTGCGCTCGCGTGCGCACGAGGAAAAGTGGGCGGTCAGGAGACTCTTCCAACGAATTTGGAATAATCCAACTGTACACCGACCGGGGAAGGCCGGGCGGCTGCAAAACAAGGGGCCGCATTGCATATAATTTGCAATGCCCAGGTCCACCCCACATAACAATCATGCCAGGTGGCGGCCCGCGCCGCGACGGTGATTGAGTGCAGTGTTAGGAGAGAGTTAGAATCAACCAATAAGGCTCCTACGTTGGTAATTTTCGACCACCCCGCGCCACGCGCGGGGGGTTGCTTGTGTTGGGCGCGCCTGGAGCAGCCCGAGCTGCCTGGCGGCAGCATGCGCACGGTGTGGCCGTGCGGCGTGCCGCGGCAAAGAAGAAAACCTGCTGCCTCGCGCGGCTCCTCCCCCTCCTCTTCCCTCCTCCTCCTCCTCGTCCTCCTCCTCTTCCCTCGCCCTCCTTCTCTTCCCTCCTCCTCCTGCTCTTCCCTCCTCCTTCGCCGCCGCCGACGCCTCACAGGCCCGCCGCGCCTGCCGCGCCCGCCCCGCCCGCGCCAATGACCAGGTGCTGCTCAGCGGCGCGCTGCACCCAGCCAGCGTACTCAAACCCGTCGATGCGGCCGCGGCAGAAGGGGCAGCTCGGGGCGCCGCCGCCCGAGCCGCTGGCGGACGCGCGCAGGACGCGGCGGTAGCAGGGCACGCACAGCAGGTGGCCGCAGCCCTGGACGTGCAGGCTGTTGGGGCGGTCGAAGCACACGCCGCACAGGTCGTCGCTGGAGACAGACCAGTCGCTGCCACTGCCGGAGCGCGCGTGGCGGGGGCCGGACGCGCTCGGGCCCGCCGCCGCGGCGGAGCCGGCGCCGGCGGCCGGGGCCGACGAGGGCGGCGGCTCCTTGGACGACAGCAGGCGGCTGAGCACGACGTGGCTGCACGCGCTGTGCTGGGGGCCCCTGTCGGAGCCGCCCGCCCGCGCCACGCGGGTGGCGACCGCCGAGGCGGATGCGGCGG